AAATGTTCTTCCTGCATTTTACAACCCATCCCAGGGGGCACTATAATTCCTCATCATTTAAATATACTCAACTTTCAAGATAATTTATTCACCATTGCTTATTAAATTCGAGAGAAAAAATTATTTCGGCCACAAAGATCATCAAATATTTTTGGAGAATTTTTAATGTTGGAAAAATAGTGGTCATAAAATGATACACTGAAGAAATAATACTGCGACCAAGTAATATTTTTTTCAACCAATAAAATCAATATTATGAATAATTGCAATGAATTATTTTTTTAGAATTGACATAGTAACATTTTTATAGATTCGAATCTGATGGTTAATTAAAATAATAAGAAATAATTCATTGAATTAATGCATTTTTACTGTGCTCGATTATTTTGAAGATAACTATCCGACAGGGAGAGGGTCCAAGATTGAAGAAAGGGATTATGACGATATTTGGGGTTGTAATAGTGTTCTACGAGAACATCCTACATTTTTACTATTTTGTCAAAATTTTCTATGCATAGTAATATAGAATCCCTTTCCTCAAACCTGGACCCTCTTCTTGTGAGTATTGGTGTATTCTAATATGGAATGGAACATTTTTTTTAAGATCCATAGTGTCTCAGAAAATAAGAATTGATCCAATGTCACTTGTATTCAACCTTATCATAAAGATATAAAATATTTAAAAATTTTTTTCTTGTTTAAATAAACTTTTTTTTAAGCAGCAAAAATTTTTTCTTAGTGTATGTGAGGTTATAATTTACCCGTCCGAGTGTTGGAGCTTCGATATTTTTAAGTGACCATAACTTAATGGATATTAAACTAAATTTAGAGAATAATCTGAGACAAATAATAATAATAAAATTATTGGTCTAATTATTCAATAATAAATGCACATTTCTCGAGATAAAAATTGTTATTAAAAGGTCTTCAAAGTCAATTAAGGAAGCTAACTGTCAAGATAACTTATTAATTATTATTATTTTATTAAATGTTGAAATGGAAATTATGATATTTTCCACTTAAATAATTCATTAATTAAAAGTCTTTTTCTTATTTGCTCCATCAATTAAGTAAATTAAAGTATGAATTCAATACTTTCTCCACTAGAATGTACCACTACTGGTCTTGAAAAGCGGCCGATTAGGCATTAAAAAAAATTCTTCTTCCGAAGTCAATTTATGGAGTGTAATGAGTAATAGGGAAGCAGTATGGTATTCGTATATGGGCTTGGTGTGGCACCTACGGTACGTTAGGTATGGGCGTTGGCACGCACATGCAAGGTGCTGGTGTATAACAAGCCGTTCACACAGCCTTGTATTAACACTGGTAGCACTGGTGTTGGGTTTAATCCTTGCGTTTCGTGACTCCAGACAAAGCCCGGTGGATTTCTGACAGAATGGTATCGCACGAAACGAGCATTACCTCGGTACTTAGTTCACCATGAATGTAGAACTGAAAAGTTGTTGGAATATCGAGCAAAGAGGAGCACAGTACCATGTGCAGCTTGAAATGAGTTTCCGTCTTTTTCTCAAGCAGTTGATGTGAATAAATATATGGTACTTATTAATAGAAAGTGATGATTATGCTACAAACTAGACTATTAGTTATAGCGGATACGTTGAAAGCACATCCTCTGGACAAAGTCGCAATGGGCGGTTGCCAACTGGTCCTGCTGGGAACAACTTTCATTGGCTGTCTTTCAAGTAGGAGGGATACAGCAATGAGCGTTACCAACGAGAGTACTAGCGTACTCGATATGCCAATGCTTTTCAGTTTAATCGCCACGTCGAATAATAATTAAATGCATTGGCATCGATATTGGAGAGGGTCTCCGATTATTATTTCCCCCTACTGGTATATAAGCTGCACAGTCAGTCGTTTGATCGCATTTGGATTGACATGGCAAATAAGAAAGCAAAGACGGAATCAAACAGAGTTTGGTAGAGAGGCTGAAGGATTGAACTAAAGAACAAAGAGTCTTTGAAAAGCATGTATGATTATCCGGCTGTGTTATTTATAGATTGATCGCTCTTCAGTGTATGTTCTCGCAGAAAGTCTGGTGGTGTAAAGTGCCAAGGTCTGGAGAATTCTCAAGCTTAGAATCAGTCTCATAAATTGTCGGGCAGTAGACTAAGAGGATTGAGAGAGGCTCGTATAGCCTGAAGCATAAACCGCGAGAGCGAGGGCGCGCCCCAGTGGCCAGAGGCGTCTTTTCTAAACCCACCTTATCTATCTAGTCCCTATAATAAGCTACGATCTGGGACGGTATATATTGCCATACACGCAACGGGAGGATTCTCTCTCGGTCGTTGTCTGTAGGCCACCGAGTGCTTGCAATTACAAGCTGGTCAACATATAATTATCCCCAATGACCATAAATTACTGGATTTTTATGCGCAACATTCTTAATTACCCTTTGAATTAACATCAATCAAGCCCCTTAATTACATACTACAGCCGCTGCTATTGCTGACGATGATGCTGCCAATGTGCTGCTTCTATTCTATTTACAATACTTCTTTTTTTCATCCTTTTACATATTCCTAAATATCAGGATTAAATTTAAATTACATGTTACTTCTAGTTTATTGACACATTGAATACCTCCAAATACCTAGATCAGATTTAAATACATAACCCTTTCTCGAAACTTAACAACGAATTTTTGCTCTCAATCATCAGTTGCTTTTTAAATAATATTCCAAAATAAATCTCCAAAATATCTAATTTAACATTTCTCTCTCCAGTTTTATTAATTTTTCATATTAAATTTCCAATTCAGTAATGGATTATTGATAGAGTTCGAATATAATACTTACAATTATAATCTTTTAGCGCCAATTGTATAGATATCTTTCGAGTTAATAAAATTTTTAAGTGACATCAGTTTCGATACATATTATATTATACTTAAGTACGTTTATAATTAGAGTAATGATGATATTTTGAAAAAAAGTTATCTCTAACTCTCTACTATCTCTAACTTAGTAGAGAGTTTATAGGATTGACTAATGCTGTGAGTTTTTTTTCCATTCATCTTATTTTATTTCGGATCGGTTGATGCGGGTATATTTGTGTCTATCAAACAGTGTATAATTTTCAAGGGCACAACTAAACCTCGTTTCTTTTTGAATTTGACCGTATCAGCTTTTTGACGCATCATGTTGTTAAATCTTACCACTTTCAGTATAATAATGCACACCAATCATTATTGCATTTAAATCGGCTTTACTAATTGATCCAGTTTCCAAATAACCGCTATTATATCTCACGGGATTGCTCGATTGTACATTCGCTCGAGGCTAAATCTACTCCTATACGAATCATTTCATGCCGACAGCTGATGGTTAAAATTTGTAATAATTTTCGAGATCTGCAAAACACGTAGCAATTAATACCATTCTGACTTTAAATTGATGATCTTCATTCTGTCAGATCAAGATGAAGATCACAACGGAGGGGCTGTGTTTAAAATAAAAGAATGTATCGTAAAAGTAAATTATATACTAGGTGGAATAGAAAATACAATTTTTTAATAAATAAATAATTATGATGATGGATAAAAAACTTATTGACTTTAGTAGGAATTTTTTCGGAGCACTGTCAAGGGGTTTTCCAGTGTTTCAATTATTGGAAAGACACAATTGAAGTCTTTTCTTAACCTCAAAATATTTTTAGTGCCCAAAAAAAACTTAATGCATACCTAAATTCAGAAGGGGCCATTTGTTGAATTATGTTATTACTTATCATAACTATGCTTAATTATTTTTGAGTCGTAGATGGCGTGATTTAATGGATCTTTATAGAATGAAGAGTAGGAATCGAGTAACTTTCTACCAGGGATAGTAGAATAATGAAACTAATTTATCTAGACTATTTATCTATGAATTTTTCTTTGATGATATAAATTTTTACAAATTATAGGATCATTGTACCGAAAAATGTTCACAAAATATTTTTTCCAAGCTGAAACATAGTTTCTTTTATATTCTTATTATAATAATTGAAGCGCAAAATTAACAAAAACAGCGCAAACACATTTTTATAACCAAAAAATGACGGTGTATTTCTACTTCATGGAGCGACTAATTGACAGAATTATCAATAAACAGCAAAAGAATAAAAATGTATAAAAGATTCGATTATCGAGTCGATGAGCCAACGTTCATGTTCTCAAACGCAGTCACCACAATTCATTTACCTCAGAGCGGTCAGTGACGCGGAAGATTTCCTCCTAGTTAACAGTTTCTCCCTGATACGCGACCAGTTGCACTCGTGACCTTTTCGCTTGAAACATACGCTCAATGATCCATCCAGCCGTTCGTCATAAGCCTGCAGTTTAAAAAGTTAAGTATTGGCGGTGGGCCAGCGCGAAAATAGAAGCAGATGTTGTTAAGTTATGTTTCTAAAACGTCTACCGGTCGACAGAAATGATGGGGTCGCAACCAAAGTGCTCGTGGAAAAGAACTGAATAAGTATAAGGTCATCAAGGAGTCAGAGTCGAGATTTCATTGCCCTTGAATTCTCGCTAACAGAAACAGGCTTAGATAAAAATAATTACGTTCAAATTCAAGATACTCTTATGTCTACAGACGTGATCTACAGACATTAATGTGTTACCATATAACTTGTTCTCTATGCAAGCGAATATCTCAGATGTGTATGTTTACCACCGAATGCCGACCATACGTTTTTGCTTTGAAGTTGGAAGATGAACGGGCCTCCTTTCTAATTTTCAGTCTCTGAATTCTTAACAGCTGCGCCCGCCAATTTCGATATGGCTGGATCCCCCCATTTAATTAGGATCCTCGTGTTTATGAGACTCGTCTTTTTGTCATTACTTGGACCGCGAGCCCAAACTCTTCTCCTTACTTTTTTCGAGCGTCAAAGCATTAAGTGACGTGCGAGCACGTGTTCCTTTTTTATCGTACATTATATCTTCCATAAACGATCATTTCTTTTTTCTTTCATTTTTAACTTTTTTTTTTTCTTTGTCTTAGATCACGAGTCTTCGGGATGCTCGGCTGACATGGCAGAAGGCTCGGCTGAGGAGGAACAAAGCAGTACCGCTGCTCCAGCATCACCACCTGCAGACTTACGTACGCTAAATACACACCTATCGTCCTCCCCTTATCATCAGCGACGTCTTCAACCTCAGCAGCTTCATCATCGACAATATCCTAATATGTTAGCCACTGCAGTACCACCGAGACATAGCCATAACATGCTGTCTCACGTCAAAACTGAAACGACGGAGATTGAACCTCCTTGTGATGTCCCGCTGAATCTCAAGAGTGAGGTAAGTCATTCGGAATTAATTATATTTTATAATAAAATGGTATAGTAAATAAAAATCAACATTTTGCAATGGGAGGAATATATTTAACCAAAGTCCAATGACCTTCTTCTTACTTACGTCTCATTCATCGGGTTAAGCTTTGTGTGTCAATGACAGGCAATTGAATGACCAAGTGCAGCGCATGTCGTTCTATCTCAATCCAAATCATGATGTGATCTTGGTAGACTGTACATAATCAACGAAACGATGCGTGTGATGAGATTGTCAAGATGAACTTGAGGGTTAACACTTGAGACTTGATGTACTCATAAGTAATTTTTTTTGCAACTTTATTGAATACATTTTGAATCTTTATGTTTATAGAATAAAATTGTTAACACTCAAGTTTCACTTGACTGTTGAAAATAATTTGTATGTGATAGAGGAAAAAATTTTTAATACATACTGAATTGAATTCTCGAAATATAATAAAAGATAAAAATAAATTTACTTCAATTAATCATTTTTACGTTTCCTTTCTCTATTATTATTTTTTTTAAAAAAAAGTGATGGTTAAATTACAAATCTATCTATCTCTTCAATTAATACATGAAAAAAAAAAAAAAAAATTCAACGAAGAAACCATTTTGTAAAAAATTTTATTCTAAAAATGCCTCGAGGATACAGTTATCATATTGTTAATTAATATTCTAGAAATAGAAATATTTTATCGAATAAGTTGTTGATTTTTTTTTCCTCAAAGTGTTATAAAAGGCATTCAATTTTTATCTACTAAAATCTATCATAATTAAAGTGTCATTGGATTCATAAGCATAATCGTTAGAATCTGTCGTCAAACATTTTTTAGCATCATTACATAATTAATCCCTAGGTATTTTTTTTTTTTTGGCTACTGAAAATATTTTTTTCTCAGTGTGTTAACATAAAAATCAAAAGCTTCCGCGTTCTCATCAACTTGAGAATGAACTTAAGTAAAGGCCTATCACCTGTTAGAATGTTACGATCTAATCGAGCCTGTCTGTCACCAGTTGACATAAATATTTAAATGATAAATTGATTAATTATTCAGTGAAAAAATTGAACGGTCATTCACCTCATGACACTGGCAAACAAACTTATTAGCATCATTTGACCAACTGACAATCATCAAATGAACGAAAACAGAATTAAATGATGTACGAAGATTTTATTTGAAAAATTTAGTTGTATGTAAAACGAAAACCACAAGTCAAAGGACGTTTGTTCTCACCCAGCTTAGCTAGGAAACTCGTAACAGGATGTTGTAGGTATTTCTGACGATAAGACTGGGTGAATAGTAGTTGTTTACACACGGCTTACGTGCCCACCTTTGGTGGACAACAACGACCAGCATCGGCTGTGCTTGCGTATCGGACTAGTACCAGAGTAAACTTGACGACATACGGCTGATAGGGTAATTTACAATGGCAAAAAAAATTGAAAGATATAAGAAAAAAAAATACGATGAGTGTTGTTGGACAATCAAGAAAAACAGCCATCAAGAATGAAGGTAAACAGCATAAATGGCAAAAGCGAACAAAATAATAAAATTTGTCGAGTGTTAATCACCCAAGGGAACGTCATTCAATTTGATGTAGGAAGAGAAGATTGTCCAGGTCGTAGTGAGCTTGACTAATCGGTACAGTGTGCAGTTGAGCCTTCAGGCGCATTCCTTCTTGATAGGTTGGAGTTCCACCCGTAAGTGCATCTGTCAAGGAGTGATTGAAGGCAAATGATCGGGACACATGTACACAGAAGGCTGGGCGATCTCATTACTACTGAGCTTATTTCAGCATTTCAATTGCATTTCGATCAAATTTCACAATTATACGAGTATTATTCGTCGCCTCGTTACTGTTATTTGGTCAGTGGAGGTGAGTAACTGGTCAATGTTGTCAGAAAAAGGGTACACGAACCGCAAGGAATCCGATTACTTTATCGGAGCATAATAATTATGTTTGTTTTCTTATTATTAACGGTATGCCGATGTTGTATCAGATTACAAGGGTGTATGTATTTGTAGGTAGGTGAAAGACTGTAAAAATGTATTTTTTATGGTGATTGAAGTCGTAAGATATAAAGGACGGTTTAATATTGAAGACAGGACTAAAATGAAGGTAATAAAAATGCAGTGACAATCGATTGCGATTAAAAAGGATGACGACTATTGGATAGTTATAAATGAAAATCAGGAAAAAAGCAATATTCTTTGATTGTGAATGAGCTTGTCCATTTTCATCGACGCCTCGTCGTGCGGATACTTGGTACGAGTTGATAGAAAAATGTTTCCCGATAAATTAATTTCCTAGAAGCACGAAAAAGTTTAAAAACATCGCCGTGATCTCTTTGTACGATTAAATCTCAATGTATATTTCAATCAGAATGTACGCTGAGTTCTAACTCTGCGGTTGTATGTGATGTATACACAGTGTTCGTATATATAACATCAATAGTAGATTGGGCATTTTTTCCATTAGATTGGAACTTGATTAAATTGAAAATCTGTCAATTGTAGAAAAAGCATCCGACGGTTTATATTGACGTTGGACATTAAATGCGGTGGCCAATGTATAGTAGGAAGATTTGCTGTCCGACAAATCATCTAGATAACTCCTCCCTTTCACCTAAATCTCTACTATTTTCTTGATTAATCATCCTATACCTATAATCATCCTTATTTTTGACATATTCCTCATCTATCCTCCTACCATTACACTCTATTATTCTCCGCACCAATTTCAACTCCCCAGTCGAAATGTACGTACTTGTTTAAGTCCTTTAGATCATTTTTGCCACATTCCAAGTCTGTTTTTATATTTTTTTTCAACTCTGTACCGTAAATAAATGCCAATAAAATTTTAATTTTGCTCACATTATTTATGCAGACATGAAAGAATTTATTAATGATACTAAAAAAGTTCTGAATTAGGACTTAAGGAATTCGTTTGTAAGATTTTCAATAATTATTAGTATATTTAATCTTTCATCAATAATAATTAGGTAATTTTAAATACGTAAAAAAAAAAAATCATTATTCTGGAACAACTGAGCAAAAAAAAAATGCTCAGATACATTATTTAATTAATAATATTGTATTAAATCTGTAAAAGTTCAAAAATTCATCGTAATATATCATAATTAGTCAGCCGTATGTAGCATAAATTAATTAGTTAAAATCACAGTAGTTTAAATACACAAGATTTTTTTTCCTCTGAATTGAGTGTTAAAAAAAAATCTGTTGAGTGATATGTCTATTGCAGACATATTTTAAATACTCTAAATTGTAGTTGATTTTGCATATGCTCCAGATAAAATATCTCCATTTCATAATTATTTATATTTTATGATGGAACATAAATATCATTATCACACTAATGATAAAGAGTGGTAAATTTTTAAAATAATCACATGAATAAATGTATTTATATTAAATGAAGTTTGAGTTGAGTTAATTAGAGAGCTCATCTAAAATGTATCAATTAAATATTGAGTAAGTTCGATACTTTCTGAACAACTCGTTACAGATCACCATTTAGATCTGACGGTAAAAACCATAATAAGATATGATTGAGATTAAACAGTATCATTTAAGAGCTCATGAAATTTATCTGCTGATGCAGCATTATCGAGAAAGGTTTAAACGGTTGACTATCGTTAGGACAATCAGTTTAATAAAATTCATCTCTCCTTTCTGCAACTTTTCATACTGAAGTAGAGGGAGAAATTTAATTATTACCACAGTCGTATTGCAGTCTCAGTGAAGATCAAGGGCCTTGAGAGAGAGTGAGTGGTCGAGACGAAGGATTTAAGGGTTGGACATTGTTCGGCTTCGCGCCCTTTCAAAGTAAAGGAAACTCTAGGAAACTGGCGAACATGTCTACCACATAGTGCGAGAACTCCCAGGCGGTGCCAAATAACAATGTTGAATCTCATAAACAAGGAGACAAGACAAATACCCGCTGGTCAGTAGCCCTAGGACGCGGAGTGGACAGACTCGTTCCACCACCCACACTCATCCTACCGAGCATGAGAGACTCTGTTGGTAATTTCACGGTGTCTTGCATCTCTGAGCTAACCCCTAGCAACCTCGTCTTCATCCCCTTGCTTCCTGCTAACGCCGCGTACAATCCATTCACTCTGTTCTACTGATCCCACATTATGAGCACCACTCGGTCTAATTAATTGTACACAGTGTGTTTCATATTCCGTATGGTCCACTAGTTTAGTCTGTTTTACTACTTGATAGTCTTCATACTTTACTAATCTACCGAATGGTTTATTCATCATGAAGTTTGTTTTTAATGAATTAATTCTCCAGTAGAAATAAACCAAGTTTTCTTTCTCCAGCAATACTTGTTCGATATCCCTATGTTGCTCAAATGTAAATTTATCTGTTTCACCAAAGGGCCGATGGATACTCGACGAAATTGCGTCGACAACTTGGACCTTGGTAGAGGGGGTCACAAACTTTTTCCTTGGACGTTGGTGGTCGGCCGAACGCCGAATCATAAATCAAATTACCCGGAGAGATTAGATTGCTGTTTGGTTATATGCTGAAAGTTTGAGAATCGTCGAAGGGGTAAAGGCTCTGAGGAAACTAACAGACCCAGGCTTCGTTCTCCTTTACTTCCCCTTCATCCTTCTTCGGTCATCCCTCGATGTCGTCCTCTTCTCTATACTAGTGCACAGTAAGGTCCAACATTAGTTAACGATTAATCAAGGCGCTTGTAGCTCAACATATATCATTAAACTAGTTAGCGAAGTAGGGTCGGCCAAGTGTGCTGACCACTAGCCGGCTCCAACCCCCCGTAACAATCTCCCTGGTACTCTCTTGCTCTGGCTGCTCGTCCTTCCAACATCTCCCTCCCCCTCATTCTCCCTCTGCTCTCTGGCAATGTAGTCGCGCACCAAACCAAACTCTTAGAGATCCCATCTTCAACACACTCTCTTCTTCTGACCCTTCACTTAACACTCGTCCTCGA